AACTGGTTTGAGATAAACCTGGTTGGATGTAGTATCTGACTTAACTGATTTGGGTCAAACCAATTTATGCAATGTCTGTGCCAGACCCCTTCCTGGTTTAAGTTAAACCAGACTCCCACAGCATCCTGACATGCTCTTGGGGCTGGGTGGGGCTCTCTGCTCCACAGCAGAGCTGGCCCCTCCCCTCTGCTCCCTGGCTGAAACTCAGCAGAGACTGCAGGCATTGGCCTGGCTTCCCCCTGCTCCTCACCCCCATTCCACTCACCACTCCCTGATAAGCAGGGATTGCCCAGTCCCCTCTGCCTTACACAGACACACAGCATTAGGTAGCAGACCACATGCTGGCTACAGTCAATGCTGTGGCAAACTAGACAAAGGCAGAATCAACAGATAGCTTGTAATGTCCCTCTATTGTTTTCTTACTTGGATGATAAATACTGAGTTTGGGGTGATAAATACTGTGTTATCAATTCTCTGCTGGGCTGGTCAGAAGTGGGGGACCCCTCCCTAATGAGAGCTTCCTGCCCCGGCCAGGCCACGCCCCCCCACCCAGCTCAGCCCTGTGCAAGGGAAGGGAGGGTTGCTTTAACGCCCCCTGGCTTCTAGCTTGAGCCACTGCAGGCATGTGCCTGCATTTCTAGGATGTCTATGTGGTTACAAAACTGATTTAGCCTAGCCAGGTTAGACTAACCTGCAAAGATTGAATCAATTCAAGCTCAGGCTTTTTGAATGTCTGTCCCTAGCCTTGGAAAATATACTACTCAAACGCCTAATTCCACTGCCTTTTACATGCACAGTGATTCTACTGACCTCACTGGAGATTATGCGGAAGTAATGATTGGATTCATGGATCATATCTTTAATTTTATGCTATATTTTCCAAGAATATGACACACATTTTTTCTTAAATTCAGGCTTTTTCCTCTGGTACTTTTCAAGTTGTAGCTGTAAATATATGCAAAGTAGTCCACTCTTCTTTGACCTCGTTAAATGTTTTATGGTAATCAAGTGCTGTTTCTGAGAAGATGGATGTGGAATTTAGCATTGAAACCCAATACAAATGTGAAATTCATGCTGCCTGGGCACCAGTTCGTTTTATATTTATTCAGTTACTGCCAGTAACTGTTCCACATAAAAGGACAATATGTCCTACCTCTGGCCTCCCATGTTAACTGATATCTGTGGGTCTCATTCAGCTCTGGTGAAACTTCATCACAGTCATGCTACTTTTAAAGGAAGGCTGCGTTTGGCCCTTTGATCCAAGCATTGGGACTTCACCAGACATCTTCAAATTCACTTCTTTTGATACTTTACTTTTATTTCTCCAGAAAATTCTCTGTAACTGTGTCCTTTCTGTATTCTCACTTTACTGCAAGCCAAGGTTATGAAGTATTCATCCACCTGATTTAGTTAAGCGCCAGGGTGGTCACAGGTAGAGTGCAACTCAGAGCCACACTAATATGTTCATGATGAAAAGGGAAAGGTTTGTAGCTAGCTGGTTATTCATAAATTATAATATATTCATAACATGCTTATAATTTGCACTGTCTTGATACCTTTTATCTGAGAATCTAAAAACATTTTCCAAACTTTAATAAAACCTCACAGTACTTCTATTAACTAGGTAAATATTATCATCCTGTTATTTAGATGGGTTCATTGAGGGGGAAGATAAATTAATTTATTGACTCACCGAAAAGTCACCAACAGACCAGGAATGAAACCTTGACTACATTAAAGTGAATGGCAAAACTCCTATTGACTTCCATGGGGCCAGAATATCAGTCTAGGAGTCCGAAAGGCTAGTCCCTTCTTTTTGGCAGCCAACAGGAGGCCAGTCCCTTCTTTTTGGCCCTGTTCACTTGTAATTCCCATAGCTTCTATTATTATTACAAAAATCCATTGAATAAATCAGTCTGCTTTATAATGCCTCTCTGCACATTGTCCATCCTTGTGCATTCAGCCATACCAAGGTAGAAAAAGCTATTATGGTCTATTGTGTAAATAGCGTACAGTTTGAGGAAGACATCTTTAATTCATATTTATATGATAAAACATATTTAAACAAATCACAATTTTTTATTGTGGTCCTGTCTATGGAAAAAATCATTCACGAAGTAAAATCCAAACACGAACACATTTATATGAAAAAATTAAGATTAGCCTAAACATTTCAAACTTTGGGATTCTCAAGGCTGTTCCTCCATGCTGGGTAGGGAGGATTGTTCCAAATCTAGCATTGAAGTTTATGCAGAAATTACATAAATGAAAGCTTGCATGCATGTAAGCATTAGTATATTAAAGCTATTGTCAGAGTTAAATTTGTCCATTGGTTCTTCAGGGCAAGCTTTTTACCTTCCTTTGTAGGATTAGTGCCTTTTCATGGAAAACAATGACATTATTCCCCATAGGAAAGTTTTGTTCAGTTGAGTTCAAGCTATATTATGTTTTACAATTGCATATTCACTGGTTTTATGCACCTGCATTTATCATTTAACAGTGCAGCATAACATTAAAAGGATCATTCAATGCTTGTACTAGCGATTGACATGTAAGGACAACTCATTGCAATATTTTTTAAATCAGGAAAATATTCTGCTCTAACCTGTCAAAGATGAATAATTATATCCTTTCCAGTCAATTTCAGTGAGCTCATTTCTTGAATTTCTTGTCAGTTCTCAGTAAGGGATGTTGTTAGGCAGTGAAAAAGTGGAAGAGAGTTGAACTTCACAAATTCTGTGAGGTTTTTGGGTTTTTTTACAAATAGGAGATGGTCAATTTAGCTTTTTCTGTGAAAACCATAAACTGTGAAAATAATAGGGTCTTAAGGGCTTCTGGATACAGTCTTCCAGCACACTAAATCTCTGCCCTTGGGGGGAAAAAACAATTACTAAGCATGAAAGGCAGATGAATAATACTAGCTGCATTCTCAGGGCTTTGGGCAGAGGCAGCTTTTATTGTTGTGACAAGTCTTACTTGTAGTGAATCCCATTTTTTTCTTGGACTGGATAGGTAATATTTACAGAGTAAATATTTATAGTCTTTCATAGCTGAATTTTTTTTGTGGCAAAGGCTCATTGTGTTAATGAATTTGTGTTTTCCAGATTATGATCTTTCCAAACTGCGAGACTTCATTGATGAGCAAGCAGATGCTTATGTGGACAAAGGCATCCTGGACAAAGAAGAGGCAGATGTGATCAAGCGCATATATAGCAGCCTGTGAAAACACAGGAAGAATGGTGTCTGCTGAACACTTAGGAAACTATAGGATAGCTTCACCCACTCCTAGCTCAGTGACCTAAAATCTGTTATTTTGAAGGTATCATTAGAAAGTGCTCTGTTTGCATCGTACTGAACCTTTTCTACACACAAATGTACACTGACAGCACACTGTACTTTCCTACATAAAAAACATCCCCATGGACAAATTCTGATATCCAATTTATATTTAACAGGGTAAATATTCACATAACGTTCCCTTAACTTACAGTTTGCATTGATTTGCCCCAGTAGATAAACTAGATTTTGTAGGAAAACTGTTTTAATGCGACTGTTTGTTCCCAGTACATTAGTTTTCCATAGATGCTACTATATGTACTTGTAAAGGGCATTATTAGACAATGAATTCCACTTATTAGTTCTCCAAATAAACATTTGAAATAATTTACATATTAAACTTTTCATTAGTCTTAATATTTCATGCCTAGAATGTTTTGGTCTTAAGTCACTGGTCTAGCATTACTTTTGATGTCTGTTTGTATTTGTGCATTCAGTATTGCCCCTCCTTTCATATATGGCTATTAACTAGCTAATGCTCCTCTGACACTGCAATTCCCTCTAACATAAGTGATAAAGGGAAAGTTGTTTTCTCAATGTTTCCACAGTTAACTACAGCGGAGGCACTGACACCATTAGTAGGTCTTTTGTGCACTCGTTTGACACTATTTGTTTTTTGTGCATGTATAAACAGCTGAATTCATGACTAACTAGCCTGTAAATAGCTGTTAATTTCTAAGAAAAAAATATAAAGCAAATCAAATGATGATGGGAGGAGCTTGCAGTTAGAGGTGTGATGTGCTGAGGAACACGCAGCCTAATTTTCAAATGGACTTGAGTGGGAGTTGTAGGACTACTGGCTGACCTCTGACCTGCACTGGGCAGTATCGTATACTTCAGCACAATGGGGAAATGTGTCTCTTGCTTCCATGTGGCCACCAACAGCATAATGTTTTAGAGGCTCTCAAGGATTCCAATACAGAAATAACAAGAAAACAGTTTCTATTTCTTCTTCTCAGTTTATAGGATTTATAAGGATTAGGTTTTAAGGACATTTTGTGATTCAGTACGAGTGGGTGAGTTGTGCGCGTGAAGAACTTGTGGAGGGAAAGCTGAGGCAAAGAAATTAGATTTGCCTTGCGCCTGGAAGTCGGGAGTGGTGGTGAATCTTACCTTGAGCAGGACTGAGCTCTGGCGCCCGAGGAAGTCCAGTTCCCTGCCCTCCTCTTTACTGCTTGAGCTTATCACCCATTTGACATTACTGCTGAAATCCAGGGTGGGCTGTGATTGCTTAGGTCAGATAACCTGACTACAGGTAAATCCTAGCCTTGTTGTGGAGGGAACATACTTTGGCCCAACCCAAAACTGTGATCGTGTCACAAAAGAGACTACTTACCTCCTTATTTTCCTACCTCTCTTGTGAATAAGGACAAAAGATTTTCATCCCACAAAACATTACCACCTGCAAACATCAATTGGCCATGACAGCAATAAGCTTTAACAGTGTTTACGATCAAAGGCTAAGTGGTATGTGGGTGGGCAAGTGTCTCCAGGGATATAAGCAGCACAGCAGAGCCTGCTTCCACACACCTGGACATGAGTAATTAGGAAGTAATAGGGGTCACTAGTGGGAACAGAGTAAAACCACTTTAAAAAAATGTTGGGAAACATAGGCGATGTAACCTTTGGCTACAGAATACATTTCCTTGCAGAAGCATATGATCTTTGTTTTCTTCTCATCCTTTCTCTAAGTTTCCCTAGACAATTTAGCCCCTTCTCCCTCTGTATGGGCTTCAAAAGCCATTACCCTCTCATCAGTAGTTTGGGGGTCAATTCATTGTCTTATTTGAAAAATAAACTGGAAATATTAAATTCCATTTGGTTTTCTGAGACATCAAGGCTGTCAGTTTTGATCTGGGAGGTGTAAGTATTTTATCTTCTCATGTCAGAGCCTCTCTCTTCTTTTCCCCAACTGCTGCTTATTTTTCCTTCTTCCTTC